CTGCTTCCTCGCCAGGCAGGGGGAGGCCTGCGGAGACAGGGGGCACAGCGGGCACTGAGGCGGCCTCCGGGCCGCCCCGCAGCCCTGGCACAGTCCCGCGTCATCTTCCCTAAGCTCACGAGAGTTTTAAAAGTTAATGGAAGACTCACACAAATACATTTCATTAGAAACTGCTGTAGAGATGAGCATATAAAATGCAATGTTAAAAGTATAAAGACTATATGAGAAAAAGCAGAATACCAAAATTATATGGTGATTTTGAAAGGCTGACATTGAAATAATACTGAGTCATTAACTGATTTATTTACACGTTTCTATGACTTAGCAGAGAGAAGAAACCAACATTGTTGTTTCACTTTTTAAAGAGCAACGTGATTTGTAACATCTCTGGAAGACTGAGAGTTGGTTCTGTTATTTTCGTCTTCCCTGCTGCAATATAAAGCAACTGATAAGGGGAAAATTTGCTCTGGTTCTTCATTTTACCAGTTAGTACCAGAATAGTAAAACTCAGAAATAATATAGCAGCAGCATTTATAGCCCTCACCTGAATTTCGTGGACCCTTAAAATGAAAAAAAAAAGAAAAAATCAGTCTGATTCTTACACGGAAGTATCCTAGAAGGTATATATGCTCCTGAATTGAATCTGTGTATCCCACATAGCATTTACTAGTATATACCTGGTTCATCTGATGAATAATTTGTGCTTTTTAAAAAAATTTATTGATTTTCTTAGAGAGAGAGAGAAAGGTGGGTGGGAGTGGGGGGGAATCAGTTTGCTGTTCCACTGGTTTATGCATTTATCGGTTGACTCTGGTCTGTGCCCTGACCAGAGATGGAGCCCACAATCTTTGTGCATCCGGACGATGCTCCAACCACTTGAGCTCCCCCGGCCAGGGCTGATTTGTGCTTTTGCTATTAGGGAGAAAAGGAATGTGTTGTGTGTTTACATAATTCTGCCTAAATAACATCCTAAGAAGTCTTAATATGATCTTAAAACCAAGCTAACTGTAATGTAGAGAAATACTAATAAAATATTGTGTGCCCAACTCATTTTAGACTGTAAAGCATATTACCAAATGGAATATTTTAAATCTTGTATTAAATATGGCAAAATACGTCCTTATCAAATTTTTAAAAAATCCACAGACTGTGCAGAATGAAAATAAACTGTAGGCTTAGGTTTACTGAATTAGAATTATGTCTTTAATATTAAACAGTAATGTAATTACTCTGCAAATATTGTAATTCTTTATAATTAATTGCTTCAGGTATAAAAAGTACATATAATTCCCTCTTCTGAGTCACCCTGAAACATGGGTGATAATTTATCACACCTTAATCCCTTATGCAAATATACTCCTGTCACATTTTTCTTGTCATGACACTATGAAACTGAGTGTAAAATATCATTTGATAAGAATATTTTAATACACATAATGACCTTTTAAATCCATTTTAAAGAAAAACTGTACTTACTCTGCTATTTATTTTAGCAAATCAGGGGGCTGTTACAGACATGTGCTCTCTCTGAATAATTAGATAACTTTTACTATAAGAAAGCAAGGAATATGACAGTGGGCTCACCATATGCAAAATGAGAAACCCAGCAAAGCTGTTCAGGAACAATTAAGAGCACAAGAAATATGAGAAATGAAATTTAAAAGAGGCCAACCAAGCAATAACTGTCATGTAAGCTCATTATCTGTTTCTAACGAAGTCGATTTACCTTTGGTGAACCGGTTGGGCTGCCGCACGGAGACCGAACCATGCCTTTGTGAATCAGGTCCAGGCGGGGAGGCACCGGCGGCAGGCTGAGGTGTGGGATCTGCAGAGGGTCCTGCTGTGGCTTTCTTCGCTGTGCAATGGGCGACGACCCTGGGGAGGTGACTGGTGAATTCTGTCTCTCAGTGCACTAGGGCAAAAAAGATAATGATGCTGTTTATTTGATGTGTAAAGTGAAGGCCTTTCCTAAAGAAGACACTTGGTTTTGAGAAGGTGTCTGCCATTGAGCATCTCTTGAAATAAACTCACTCAGTTAACTCTGATTAACAGCTGGAAAGAGCTCATACTGTCTCTCAAGGGCAGTATTAGTAAAGAATAAATGGATAAGTTTCTCCTACATATTGCAGAACGGGCCTGAGAAAAAAGAACAGCAAAAGCATAGTTTAAAAACATCAAATGCAGATACTGTTTTAGAGGAAAGGAGAAACAATGCAGTAATGGCATGTTGTTCCTGGATATCTATAATATAGAATTTTCTTTGATATTTGATTTAGAGCACATTCTGGAACTTAGAAACCATTTTGTTCCATACAAAATATGTATGAATCCAGTGTATAGTCTACTTTCCTACAAACCAATATAATCAGGCAAGTTTAAAAAAAATGTGTATTTAAAATAAATAGGTTTGAGCGGGTGGGTGGAGGGGGAGAGAGTAACCAAAGAACTTATATGCATATATGCACAACCCAAGGACACAGGCAATGGTGTGGAGAGGGACCAGGGAGGGGGATGCGACGGGGTAGAAGGAGTAAATCGGGAGAAACAGACACATCTGTCATATTTTGAAAAATTAAAAAAAATAATAATAAAATAGGTTTGAGCCCACGTATTTTCTTCCTCGGACTTCATATGGAAAAGGAATTCTCAAATTAAACGTGCCTGTGTTTTTTAATCAATTAACTAAATCTAGAAAAGTCTGTGCTGCTGCTAAAAACTGATATATTTCTATGTTATTACAGGTTTTCCATTTTGTCTGGTAGATAGCATCAAAAAGCCAATAGCAAGTACTTCTAATTCTATATAGATAATCTTTTCTAATTTGGAAGTTTTTTTTAATTTTTTGTTTTTTGTTCTTTTGTGTTTTTTTTAATGTGAGATAATCTGATTGCTACCTGGTATAAAAGCCATAGTAATTAATCAAATAGCCTCTCTAGGATAAACAACATTCTGTTCTGCAGTATTAGGCAGTTTCCTTTTCAAGGCTGTTACTAGCTTTCTGGAGACCTAGGCTTAATTTTTAAACCCACTGCATCAATTTAGCATGCTTTGATATTCATCTGTTTCCTAAGGTTAGTATTTACAAAGAGTTTGAAGCTTGTGGTTAAGCCACTTCTCTCCTAACGTTATTCACCTTTATGAGAGAAGTCAATGTCAACAACTGACAATTTAATTCAAACTCTAGCACCAGTGAGAAAGACTTAGCCATTCTGTCTTTATCTGAGATGGGATAACAGATTTCTGTTCGCATCCACACTGAGTTACATAAACATTTTTTTCTAATTCACTAAAGTTGGGTTTTGTCTTACGTTTTTCTCATGATTAGACAGGGATTGTTGGTTCATGGAAGGAAGACTTCATGTCAAGTGTCCTCACTATCAATAGGACTGGTCAGTGCTGATGTTGACCTTGATTATTTGGCTGATGTACTAACTGTCAAGGTTCCTTCACTGTAAACTGTAAAGTTACTCTTGTCTCCTCCTTTCCCTACTGTACTCTTTGCAAAGAAGTCATTATGCACAGCCCACACTTAAGGAGTGGGGAGTTATGCCCCCCTTATAAAGGTTTTTAAATAAATTTGAGTGGCTAAACAGAGCTTCCGGACCATAGCTCAGATAGGCCGGGATATTGTCATGACAGTGCTAAACTCTCAAGTCTTTGTCTCTGTCAACTGATGCCAAATAATTTAAAATAGGTCAATACTGCCCAGCCGGAGTGGCTCAGTGGTTGAGCGCCAACCTATGAGCTAGGAGGTCACAGTTCCATTCCCAGTCAGAGCCCACGCCCAGGGTTCAGGCTCGATCCCTGCTGTGGGGCGTGCAGGAGGCTGATCAATGACTCTCTCATCATTGACATTTCTGTCTCTCTCTCCTTCTCCCTTCCTCTCTCTGAAATCAATAAAAACATATTTTTAAAAATAATATAAAAATAAAAAATCAATAAAAACATTTTAAAATAAGTCAATACATTTAGACATAATTTTATGATAATTTTAAGAACCTTTTCTTTTTAGTAATTTCATGATTCTTTTCTATATCTGTTATAAGATAAAATATTTCCAACTGTTACTTAATTGAAAGAGAAAAAGTAGAAACTTTATAGTCATAAACTAATTTGAATGCAGTCAGTGATTCTTAACAAAATAACTATTCTACCCAAACAGTCATGGGGTCTTACATGGTCATGAATTTGAACCTTATGGAATTAAACCTATCCAAAAATGACCACAGACAGAACGAAAAGAATTCCTAGTGTAAAGCTGTGTGCATGAGAGTATCACAGAATTTCAGATCAGGAGATGTCGCGGGACATCTAATTCTCCACAATTCCTTTTAGGATAAATTCTAATCTCTCAGAACTGGCAAGATTTAAGTGATAAAAATACCTTGTTGGTCTGGTTATTATCCTTAACAAAAAAGGCTGAAGAAGCAAAGCTATTCACACAATTCCCATCCCAGGCAAAATACACACACCACCACACACACACAATAGCACTTCATTAACTTGGGCGTTTGCAGAGAACTGTTTCAGTGCTAGGCGCATACACTGCCGAGGTGAGGCTCCTGAACAGACCTAGGCTCCTCCAAGCACTTTTCTTCCACAACTATCTTCCTGCTTCCCCCACTATCAGACACAGGAAGAATCCTGACAGAGCCAACAGCCCACTACCATCAGAACTTGACTTCCACTTTAACTGATAATCTTTAAGTAGTTACCAAATTCCTAGTATGTTTAAATAATGGGGTGGGTTCTATTTGAGATGGGTGAATTATTAGACATTGAAAGGGTAGAGTGAAAGTCCTCGAGACAGTCATCCAAACCAACGTGTGTGGTGCGACAACTTTGACCTTCTAGATACTCCCAGACAAGCACAGCTCTGGGAATGTAACTGGAAGCAGACGTGCTTAGCACAATTCATGTTGTATTGTAAAGGTGATTACAGACTGTCCTTCTGAAGAACTAATTCCTTTTGAAGCATTCCAGTATCTGTAAATTGGCTTAGGTGGAATTTTATGGAGGATATACCTGTAAGTAAAGGGATAGGAACGTTTTATCTTCATTGACTATGTGGATTAAATTCACAAATTACTCCTTTTTCTGAGTTCTCTGAAATGAAGGCAAAATTCCCATGTGAGAGTCGATAATTTAGCAATGCCCTTTAGATAAAAAAGCATTATTCTTTGCTTAACACTTAGCTATCTCTACGAACAACTCTGCAATTAGATGACTGAATCTTTGCATAAACTTTCATTGCTGGTAAAATTCAACGCTAACTATGAACATTTGTAAACATTTTTAGTAGATGCTCACATAAACGGTCATTTTTAATTTATTCAAATAATTACCATTTTTATTTCCTTCCTACTTGAAAGTCTAAGGAACAAAGAAGCCTAACACAACGCTTCACACCCCAGGCACATAATTAAATTTTTAGATGAGACATTAAAAATTCATGAAATCAAACTTATCAGTTCAACTTACAGAAAAGAATAGACAGCCATTTTTCCCTTCTGAAAATAAAGAGAAGCAAAATAGGTTGATTTAATGTAGCTCCAAATTATTTCTTCTTTAAACTACACGTGTCTTCTATATAATATTTGAATATTTAATGGTCTTTTAAACAACTTTAATTTCTAGAGAATCAGATTTTCCCTGTTATAGGAGGTAGTCATCAGGTGTGACAAAGGGATGTGTCCAGTCGTCTTTAGTCCATGGATTTATATTACTGTCTTCATAGACTCCACAAGCATCCCTCCCAGCCCTTCACTCTGCCGCCTTCTTCCACAGATCTAACCCTCACCCCCAAATCACTGAGGTCACTGATCCTTCCCTGCCTCTGACAGGTGATAAGGGAGTTGCTGGGGAGAAACAACAACGAATTACAGCACTGGGACCAATCCTCGGGTTTGAATTCCTAGACTGTAAGCTGTGCTAACCTCTTACTGATCAGTCCGGTATTCCTCAGAATCACTACCATTTTTATTCTGGCTGGAAGTGCAGATTTAAGACATATACATAAAACATCTTGAGTAGAGGAGTAGGAAATCATTTATTTAAATCTTGAACAATAACAGGTAAGCATTTTGTTGATAGGGATACACTTGATTGGAATGTGAATTTCAAGTGTGGCTGTCAAAACGAAGTTCTCAAACCAACAGGTTATAAAGAGTAAGTTTTAAAAAGGAAACCACACAATTAAGTGTATAATCTGACTTAATATGTACATATTTCCTATATGTAACATTTAAATTTCAGCTAGAACTTTAAATGCCATACACAAATCACCACCCATTGATACTGTTTCCGGTAGGTTACAGAATAAGGTTAATCCATTTTGTGGCGACTTTTTGAGTTAATAAAATTAAAGTGTGATAAAAGTTGCTTTTTATAAAACATTTATTTTTCATTTGGATGATATAGTTACAAGTACTGACTCTTCTGATGCAGAAGTCCCAGATGCAACCTGTTACACCTCCAGACAAAGCTTGCTCAGTTTCACTACCGGAAGACAACTCTGTTGGAGATATCTTTAAACAAAATGCTCTCACTCTTCCTATTTCCTTTTTTGTCCTTCACAATCCTCTCACTACCAGGCCTAACCAAAGCAATGGTGACAAAATCAAATATCTAAACAAACAGCTATTTCTAGACTAAATTCTTACAATGCATTCAAAAGTCAAACAGAAATGCTGCTTGGAATTTTTGCTATTATTAACAATGACCATTAGCACAAAAATGTAGAACTGAATGTAATATTTTCATTTTTGGGTACTGATCTAAAGAGTGTCTGAAATATAGAAATAACAAATTAGAGGAAGAAAAGTAGTTTAAGAGTAAGAGTGGCCTCAGGAGCTTAGGAGGATGTATGTTGTCAACTGTTCACCATAATAAATAGTTTTCCTGGCGTGGGCA